GGCTATTTCGCCTGCAGAGAATCCCTGGGCTAATCCACCGTGCTCCTGGGGCGGGGGGAGGGGGTGGGGACGGACGGACGACGACGACTCACCTAGAGGTGGACAGAGAGTGCATACACAGTCCATCCTGCCTGCCGCTCGCCCCGGGCTGGGCATACACCACGTCCTGCTTGTTGCCTGAAGTGCAGGAGATGGTGCGCGCCGGGATGGGTTTCCTGGTGGTGCCATAGTGGGCGCTGCAGCTGCTGTGCATGCTTTGCCGGTTCAGGGTGGCCTTTTGCACCACCCGGCTCCCCGCCTGGCCTCTGCGGAGCGTGTCCCGGGGAGGCTCGCAGCACAGGTCGGGCTCGCTCCGGCTGCTCTTCAGGCAGTAGGTGGTGGTGGGGCTGCAGACGGCTTTGCTGTGGTGCCGGTTGCCCCAACCCTCCATCTGACTATACGAGCTGTAGCGCCGACTGTCGGCCTCTCGCTTAAGGGTCCCGTTGTACATCTGGGGGAGGGGAACAAGAAACAAAACAGTTACAAGGGGCTTCGCCAAACGGGGCCACATCCTGGCGGGCACTGAGCCGCTGTCCTGGGAGCCGTGGACACGTCATTAGCTACAACCATAGCAGTTCATACCCCAGGGCACCTCGATCTCAGCCCTCTCTCCTCACAGGCAGGGCAGTGCAACTATCCCCATTGTACAGAAGAAAATGGAGGCCAGCGAGACCTAACTGACTTGCACCGGGAGTCTGGGGCAGAGCAGGGCACCGATGCCCCATCTCCTAGGCACCCCCAGACTGCCCCCCTCGTCTTTTTAATAGCATGTGTTAATATTCATCCCAGGGCTACCGAGCTCTTGCCCAACACTATATACACCCGATCCCCTTCACCTAAAGCAACGTGCAGCCATCGCTGGCCCAGGGAAGGGCAGCTTTTGAATGGACTGCAGCACACCTGCTCACTTCTTATGGCCACCGAATTTGGCAGGGACTTCGGGGCACATGCCCCATTTCTCCCAGAATGGGATCGTAGATGAACACCAGGGGTCTGGAGCTGAGGGAGGGTCCATCATGCGACACCCCTTTCCCTCGCGGAGGCTGACGCTTTCCCTGTTCTAGCCCTCCCATCGCTTGCTTTGTCCCTATTCACTCTTCTTCCACCCTCACAGACCCGTAGGTGAGAATCCCTCTGTAGAGGCACAAAATGGCGGCCCCCTTGGGGAAAGAGGATGGGGTTATGGCTTCACGGCGGAGTGTATCGTACCGATGATGATGATCGAAGTTTTGAGCACAACAAGGGCTAAGCCAGCAAAAAGCCACCGTATTGAGTTCAGAGAAAAGGGCCCGATTCTGATCTTGGGTCCGTGAGGTGCATCCACAGTAACGTCAGTGGCGTTACTCCCGATTTGCCCCAGTGTCGCTGAGCTCAGGAGACGGCCCGACACCCCCTCGCCACACCTGGAGGCTTGGGAGCGTTGCCAGCGAGGAAAGGGGGCACTGAGGTGTTTTACTCTATGTAACCTCCACCCCGAGGAAAGGGGGCACTGAGGTGTTTTTCTCTCTGTAACCTCCCCCCCCCCCCTTGTTTTCCTGACCGACAACTAAGGACATGGGAAATCCTGGCTTGTTCCCCTCATGGCCCAGCGGCATCTATGGCATCTGGACACCCTGTGGACGTAGCTTTAAGGCCCAGTCACATGGCTATCCCGATCAGCAGGAGATGCCAGTGAGATTGGGAGGAGGCCCAGTGGAGCCTATGTCTGCTCCCTACCCAGTGACATTCGATTCTCCTCAGGTTCTTCTGCCATGCCCATCACCGTGGTGCCAGGGCCCCTGGGCCGGGAGACACTGTCTGAGGGCCTGGCCAGAGCCTGCCTTTGACATAGAAGGATCCAGGCATAGAGAGAACGGAAGGGAACTAAAATAACACGGTCCTTAAACCCCCTCCACTGCCGACAGTGGGCCAGCCTCTGAGCTCCTTGCTCAGCCCTTCAGATGCTCCTGGACGTGGGGAAGCTTCACCCTGAGATGCTAACTCTGATCTCAGTCCCAGCCGTGTAAATCTGGAGTGACTCAGCATCACTGAGCATAGCGTCTCGCTTTCACGGTCACTCAGTCCTAACCCAGGCAAACGCCCCTAAAAGATGAACAAGTCTTCGCCATTTGGCCCACCGGCCTTCAGTGTCCTTGAGGTCACCTTCCGGGCACCCCTAGTAGGCAGAGTTCCTCATTCCACACGTCCCAGTTGAGCGGAGTGACCTGCACTCTACTGAACAGAAAGGGGCGCCCTTCCTCCGCCGCCCGAAGCTAAGCCAAGCTGCCGCTGATTTGCCCCGAGAGACAGGGCAATTTACTGGTCAGCCCCAGCGAAGAGGCCCTAGGAAGTGATGAACCATTGTCGTGGGCCCTTTTGAGCTCCCCCTATGAATTCTGGGAAGGGATTAGCCACAGCACCTTGCAAATTAAGGCTTCCTTGAAAATCCAGGACTCCTACTCAACGTCCTTGGTTGCCCTCCAGCTCAGAATGGAGCAGCTGCACAGTTTTACCCCGTCCCTGCCTACGCTACGCTGTTGAGTGGATCGGTTGAGGGACTCTGCTGCTTTGGCCTATCTTCTCCCTGCTCCTAAGGGCCTGATCCGTGGGGAGGGGGAATCATTCCACCAACTTCCAGGGGCTGTGCGTCAGGCCCACGCCGTCCGTAGCAACCCCCCCCGGCAACCACGAGGGCTGTGCCACTGGGAAGCAACCTGGAGTGGGAGCAGCCAGGCCCCCGGCAGCACCTCAGACCCATGGGCTGGCTGCGGTAATGAGCGTCTCATCGTCCAAGAAGAGCTTTCCCAGGAGTTTGCAAGAGGTTTCCCAACTCTCCAGCCTCGCCCTGATGGGGCCTGCGCAGACTTGCCGGCGAGGGCTCATTGTCTACCCGAGAAACGCCTTCCCCAAAAAAGGCAATAATCTGGAGTTCGCCATTGCAAGCGCGGAGGGGGAGAGAGGTTATCAGCCTGCCATGCCAAAATGCAGGATGAAAACATCCCCCCCAGACAAACAATTCATGCACACTCCCCCCCCCCGCCCATTTCCCTCCCCCAGCCAACACCAGAGGGGAACACACCGGAGAGAAAAACAGATGTTACGCCCTTGATGGAAACATAATCAGTAGTTGAATGGCTGCAGTAAAGGCCCCAGGGGCTCAACATCTCTGCCAAACTGCTGACAGCTCCGAAAATAATCCACCCACAGTCAAACCCTCCATTGACTCATCCTGCTTCCTCATCCCACCCAGCCCAGAGATCAATACCCTTGGGACGATCCTGGGTCGCCAGGAGAGAATGACCCCAGCCATCGCTTAGCAGAGCCCCACCCGCCCTAGCTGCACCCTCCCCGTTCCTAGAAGCTAGAGACTTCCTGAGCACAGGTAGCCACTGATGGTAACCTGTGGAGGTTCCCATAATTAAATATGATGTATCGGTTTCAACGAATTCGCGGGTGGCTTTGATCACAGCAAAGAATTGCTCGTTCTGTGTGGTGGCCAGACTGAAAAATCTAAAAATGCTTAGTTTCATTCAACCCCAGGTAGTTTTCTCCATAAGAACATAAGAACGGCCATACGGGGTCAGACCAAAGGTCCATCTAGCCCAGTATCCTGTCTGCCGACAGTGGCCAGCACCAGGTGCCCCAGAGAGGGTGGACCAAAGACAATGATGAAGCGATTTGTCTCCTGCCATCTCTCTCCAGCCTCTGACAAACAGATGCCAAGGACACCAGTTTATCCCCTGGCTAATAGCCTTTTATGGACCTAACCTCCATGAAATTATCTAGCTTCTCTTTAAACTCTATTATAGTCCTAGCCTTCACAGCCTCCTCTGGCAAGGAGTTCCATAGGTTGACTACACGCTGTGTAAAGAAGAACTTTCTTTTATTAGTTTTAAACCTGATACCCATTAATTTCATTTGGAGTCCTCTAGTTCTTCTATTTAGGGAACTAATAAATAACTTTTCTTTATCAGCCCTCTCCACACCACTCATGATTTTATAGACCTCTATCATATCCCCCCCCAGTCTCCTCTTTTCTAAACTGAAAAGTCCCAGTCGCTTTAACCTCTCCTTATATGGGACCCGTTCCAAACCCCTAATCATTTTAGTTGCCCTTTTCTGAACCCTTTCCAAGGCCAAAATCTCTTTTTTGAGGTGAGGAGACCACATCTGTACACAGTATTCAAGATGTGGGTGTACCATAGTTTTATACAGGGGCAGTAAGATATTCTCCTCCGTTTTGCTTTTTGGGGACAGAAGGGGGCAGGGGAGATTAGCCCTTGGTTTGTTTTAAACAAAGCTAGTGGAATTTCTAAATGAAACACCCTTTCAAAACGACAAAGTCAACACGTCGCATTTGGAAAATGGCTGTCGAAACCATTGGGACTTTTTCCGTTTTTTTCCCAGAGAAAAGCATTTGCTGAATTTGACCCAAATCCATGAATTGTTTCTGTGGAACCAAAGCTGGATTGGTTTTTTTCAGACTTTTCATCTGAAAAGGCCTGCCTGGCTGTTGCAGTAGGCTCACAGAGTGCTCCAGTTCTCCATCAGAATTAAAAAGTTGTTATAAACGAGCCAGCTGCTTCCCACCTGTGCCAGTTTCCCAATCATAGCAAAGAGAGGAGCAAGCACAGTTGTGAATTACAACAGACGCTGATTGCACCAAGGAGAGTACAACTTAATGAACCTTCTGGGAGTCTCCCAGGAATCTGACATACATCGGGGCAGGAGGAAAGGTGCGGCGGTGTATGTGTGTGTGGGGCGGCGGGTGTGGGACAGAGAGAGACTCTACTAATTACAATGACCCTGGATGCTCTTTAGCATGGCTGTTTCTTGGTTGAGATTCCACTGGTTTGTACGGTCATGGAAGATGATTGAGCATGTGTGCGTACACATACGCCACATCAGACAGAGGGTACAGGTCACCACACAATTTGTCGGAATCATCCCCCCTCCCCCAAATGGTGAGCTAAATTGATCACTTAATTAACTCCAAGGGCTTGTCTCCACTGTGCTGGGGATCAACGCTGCAGAGGTCAAGACACTGGCTGTTGATTTATCGCATCTGCTAAGACAGATAAAGGGCTCTCTGAGCGCTCTCCTGCCAACGGCGGGACTCTGCTGGGACGAGAACAGATGGTGCCAATGGGAGAGCAGCCTCGCTCCCCTCACCGCAGGCAAGATGCTGCCGTAAGTGCATTGACTTGAGCTGCACCATTTGTGTAGCTGAAGTCATATCGATTAGATTGACAACGGGGGTTAGTAGACAAGGCCCAAGTGTGGGCTTGATGCCCTAGATGCTCTCAGTGAAATCCATCTGTCCGTCCATCCTTCCATCCATCACCACACCCACCCATCCACCCATCCATCCCCACACCCATCCATCCATCCAATTCAGGGTGATCGTATCCTATAAGAGAATCTGAGCACCAAAGGTAGCTCTGGGTAATGGCATTCCCCAGTCATAGAATC